AAAAAAAAAAAAAAAAAGCAATGATAGTCCCAATAACAACACTAAGACATTCCCTCTAGAAAAACTACTGGAACTAGTAACTACTCCCAAAGTGGGGATGGAAGAATACTGCCCGTCCTCATCACCTCTGTAAAATCCCTTCTTTGTCTAAGATGGAGGGAGGCTGCTTCTCCCCTCATCTCTGCTTTGAAGACAAGCAATCTTGTGTAGGGTAAGCAGATAGGAAAGAGCCCTGGTCCTGCACTCGCTGTTCTGAGGCAGCTGGCTGGGCTGTGACAGAAAGAGTGGCCGTGCAGGAGGCTCTCGGCAGCCGACTGGTAATAGGCAAGGACAACACACATCGTCTTTCAAGGTTTGCAGGTTGTCAAGTATTTACTAAGCTTGTGGGATTTGGGATAAATGAGGCAGCCTGAAGGGAAAGAAAAGAAAATTTGGATTGCCTGGAAATGCATTTTGTGTCAATTCAATTTGGATATAGAACATTCTGCAAAGGACAGCATGACAGAGTCCACTTGAGAAAAGTGCAAAACAGAGCATCCCTCCGTGCAACCTTAAAGATTTTTCTCCTCAAGTGAGTGTCTTTAGTAGGTCCCCTGGAGCTGACTGGGGCATCAGATATATGTCTGAACCTATTAGCATAAAGACTGAGATAAAGTGGTAGATATTCTGTGTTACAGTGCAAAAGTCTGGCTTTGCCTATATATCACTTGACTGTATTACTGTGAGAAGCGACATGAAAATCAAAGGGGGCAATAAAAAGAAAAAACCTAAGAGCCTTTCAGCTCCTCTAAATGAGGTCTTACCATACCCTATAGGAGTCCAGATCTTGATTCTGCAATTATACAGCAGGAGAAAGTGAAACAAGGTTTATGGAACACTTATTACATGACAAGCACTGTGCTAGGTTCTTTATATCTGTTATATATTCTTCATATACTCCCCCGCAAAAAAAAAAAAAAAACCCTATAAGGTATACTTCTCCAATGATTTGTGAGATTTACCCACTCTTACAGAGACAGAGATGAAATAACTTCACTGAAATCACACAGACAGGAAATGAAGAAATCAAATTTTGAACCCAGTTCTACATGCCTCCAAAAGCTCTTTCATTATTACACTTCATCACAACCCCTGTAGATGAATCCTGAAAATTCCATTAGACAGATGGTTCTTCTCTTTGCCATGAATGAAAATATTAGCCATGGTCTACAAAATGGATGAGATGAGAACAAGACCTGAAAGCAGTCTGAACGTTTCAGGAATGGACAGATTAACACCTACTGATGGGACAAAATAAACTGATAATCTCCCAATTCTTTTTCTTCACCTACCTCCCAGCACCACATATAAATACACCTCCTCTTCTAATAAGAAAGAAACATGTCCCAGAAGGAAACTTTCCTTTGTTGCAGTAATATCTTCATTGATTAAGGTAGTAAGACTTTAAATGAAAATCAAGTCAGGAAAAAGATGTGTAGTTACATAGTAAGGTCAGCTTTATCATCTTTGCAAGAGAATTATATTGGCAGAATGAATGTGCATCCCTTACATAAACCAGATCCAGCAGTCTTAAAAAGAAAATCAATTCCTGTGTTGGCAAAGTATGCTGCCTTTATGCATTTTAGGAAGAAACACTACCACAGAATAACTGAAAGTGAAAAACCAAATGAGAGAGGAAGTCTGTATAGGTTTATACCTCTTCCTCCTTTCCAAGAGAATAGAACTCATGCTATTCCAGGCCCCAGAATCAGTAAAAGGCTCATCATAGGAAGATCCCATCATAACCAGCCCAAGACGGTAGAGAAAGGAGGAGCCCACTGTATTGATTTCATTTCAAAGAAGATAATTCATATTAGGAATAACAGGATACTGCACATTATGAAGAAAACAAAACTTGGAGTAATTTGAGCATAGAGCATCTCAGTTTCTATGGACTTGAACTCCACCCCATTCAGAGCCATGTGTGTTTCAGCTTGGAATTTAGTTTTTATCTGAGAAACAGGTAAGCGCCTCCAAGCACCCACTCCTTTGGAGGTCAAACTATGGATATTAAACCCTCTTCAAGGAGGAAGAACCCTATAGAAGAGAGAGGTTACCTACATTATGTCATTTAAGAACTGAGATGCCTGAGACTGGATAGACTGTCTATTAGGGTTGTTAAGAGAGGACTGAAGGAACATTGATGAGTCTCTTGGGCATCACTGACTGATTACCTGAGTTCATTTCTTTCCTCCATCGGCAGCCACCAAATGGCTTGAGTAGTCTTAGATACCAGTTCAAGCTTCAAGACTCTGAGAATTGCATGGAATTCTCCTGTGAAAGGTAACAGAGAAATATAATGTTTCATAAGGAAGTATAGGATTAAGGGAGGGTTTTTAATTTACAGGAAACAGAGAGAGTTCACATGTTGATGAAAATGACCTAGTGTATGGGCAGAAATTAGTGATGAAGGAAAGGGACACTTGCATGGACAAGTTTGTGTGTTTTCCAGAGTGAGGGCTGAAGGCAGGTGCCACAGCAGGCACTTTTGCAGACTTGATGGAGAAAGAATATGGGAAGTCTTTTCTGGTTGTCTCTACTTTCTTAGTAAAATTTCAGTTGAGCATGAGGAAACAGGTATTGAAAAGTTATAGAAAGAGAAGCCAGTGTTGCATAGTTTCTGAGAAAGCAGACTATAAAACAATTATTCATATATAAGCACCTAAAAGCACAGTTAAAACAGAATTTCACTAAGTTTGACAACTCCACAATCATTATAAGAATATATAGATACACCACTCTCAGAAACTGATACAGAGAGCAGACAAAGTAGTGAAAGCAAGGAAAATTTGAGCAACAAGATAATTAATGATCGATACTTATTGACCCAATAGATATAGTTTCCTATACAATCACCCATGAAAAAAGAAAGCACTTCATATAAGCTGCTTTCTAGGCTACTAGCAAGGTGTCAACAATGCCCGATAACTATTATCATGTAAGTTGTTCTCTTAACCATTCTGCAAAAATTAGAAGTTAACACTAAGCTAGTCACTCTTCCCAATATACCACAAACTAAAAAATTTACTCCTAAGTAATGCATGGATTAAAAAGAAAATAACAATGTACAATAAAAAATACTTAGAACTACACAACAATGAAAGTGAAGTATATAAAAAACTAGAGGATATAGCAAAAAATAAAAGCTACCTCTTGTAAAATAATTCAGAAATGCAGGAAGTATGTAAAGAAAAATAAACAATCCCACGACCCAGAAATAATCAGTTAATGTTGTACAATCTCTCAGTATATGTATCTAATGCAGGTAATTTCCTGCTTTCTCAGGGGCCTGTTTGTTAGTGTCAATGTTCAGGCCCAATAGCAGAAGTGCTTCAGAGCATCCTCCAAAATCAGAAGCTTTATCCATAGGAGAATTTTTTGGTAAAAAAGATTTTTCATTTCATTACTTAATCAAATGTAATATTTTCCATTATACTACTGTATTTACTTTTTTTCATTATACTATGGTAAGGTCATGCTTATAAAAAATGTTGTCTGTGCTTCCAACATCTTTGATTCATCTCAAATTCAACAGGGTTTCAAATGTGAGATGTACTTCTAACTTAATTACTTGCCTATTTATTTTCAATGTCATCAACCAGTTATTACATATTAAATAATCTTTCCCCCAGATGACCTAAAGTTGTCTTTTCTAGTCTATCTATCCACACTTAAAGTAGTCCTTGCTGTATAAGAAATCCTCCCAAAACTCAGTGACCTATAACACTAAGAATTGATTGTGCTTCCAAGTCTTCAGGAGAGCTGATTTGCTTTCTAGTAGTGGCTGAGCTCAATCATGCATCCATAGTTAGCTCCAGAGTGGGTAGGAGACCCTGGGATCTTGGCTGGGCACCCTCAAGATCTGGGCTTAGGCAGCTTTTGAATGGTCTAGCATGGCCTTGGTTGGGACAATTGAGCTCTCTTCCAATTGTCTCTCACATGCATGTGTCTTTCATATCACTAAGCTAGTCCAAGCATGTGATACAATTATCACAGAAAATCAACAGAAAGCAAGAGCATCAAGAGGGCAAGTCTTCATATGTAAGAACCTCTCAAGTCTGTGCTTGTATCACTTTGGCTAACCTCCTATTGACCAAAGCAAAAGAAAGCTATGGACAAGGCTGAGCCAAGGAACCAGGAGGAAGAGGACTACTAAACTGTGGTGGGAAAATGCAATGTGGATACAAGGAGGTCATTAGTAAGAGCTCTTAATGAAATCAACCTGTGTTCAGTGATGAATGATCTAGAAGCAGATCAATATAAGATAGACAAAATTCAACCTAGTACAAACATTTTTTTAAATCTTATTCTTGGGAAATTTATAAAGTAGATTTTATTGTGAATGCTCTCTCTTTTTTTCATTTCGCTTTTTAAACTATTTAACATTGATTTTCATTTGCATATTTCTTAAACAAATATTTTTTGGTTTGGCTCTTTGTACTTTCCATCTGTGCTGTTGTGTTGTCTGAAAATAACAATGCTCATTGTCATCTTTTCTGTTTCTTCTTGTTCTGTTTCCTTGTCTAAATCAATGCGCACAAGAAAAACATTGCTTATTCCAGAATTGAATATAAGGGCTCCTAATTTTTCCTAATGTTAAACATAAGGCTATCTATTTATTTAAGATAACTATTTCTTATAATGTGGAAAATTGCTCAGTCTATTTAGTAAAATTGTTTGCTAATCCAGAGTGTAGATGATATAGCTTATCAACTTATTGTTGATAAGTAGTTGATATATTATTTATCAAGATGACCAAAAACATTTTTTTCCTTAGATATGAATGTGATTAGCTATGTTAATAAGTTCTCCAGTGTGAAATTACTGAAAAAAATCCATTAGAGTTTGGATTATAGAGTGATTGGCTTGATTTACTAACATTTAATATTTGTGTCTATAGCCATAAGTGGGATCTGTCTGTAATGTGGTGGATGTTTGGGGAAAACTGCAGTTTTGGTATCAACTGAATTGGAAATATTTCTATAACCTTGAAGAATTTAAATAGTATAGAAATTATCTGTTCCTTTAATACTTGGAGGATTTCACTGTCAAATCTTTTCAGCTTAGTTTTAATGATCAGAAAATGAATCTAAATTAGATTAAACAAAAATACATAAATGAACAAACATAAACAGTGTTGGCCTGTAGAACTAACAAGTCCAGGATTACATACTGGCTTCAGACTCTTCTGGCATCAGGTGCACAAAGGTTGTCTTACTGTCTCTACACCATTCTTCATTATCAGCTCTGCTCTGTTTTGTGATTGCTTTATTCTTACTTTATGTGGTAGAAGAGATGGATAACAGAAGCTTCAGGCTTCAGTCTTACAACTATAGAAATTTTTTAAAAAAATGACCCCCTCACACTTCACACACATGCATGCAATAACAGTAGCTGATCTTGTTTGAATTACGCATTCATCACGAGACCAGTTACTGTGGAAAAGGGGGTGGGCAACTAGATTGGCCAGACCCAAGTCACCAGCCTGTACACTGGGTCTTTAGAACATGATGAAGGTTTTATTAGTTTAGTAAGTGATCATCTGCATTGTCCTCTTGATGAAATTATTGTACCTATTTTGCATATTCTTTTCTGTTTGTTAGGCCACTGGGTGTATTTAGGAAAAAAATTAATAAATGTAATTAGAGGAAAACAAGCTATAGTGAAACTAACATGGAAAATTAAGAAGTTAGAATATAATAAACACAGAAGGGATCATCAAACATACTTTTTAATCTATTATTAATACCCTCATTACTCAGCTAATTAGATTAAGTCCTATATCTGTAATGCATTATCTGTATTTTATATTAGGCTGACAGTTTATATTATTCTCAACAATAATCAAGTAAGTATTTACACCATGAAAATGCATATGAATGTTTATGTGTTCTCAACAAAATTAAGTTCCAGACTTAGAATATAATTTCCTGATTTTCTAAAATTCAATCATCATTTGAACCCAACAAAAGAAAATAAGAAACCTAACAATGCTGCTATATTCTTATGTAAAATACATATATAGTACATATATAAATATCTTAAATACACTAATTTCAAAACTATATAGTCTATTAGCTTAATTTATCAGTGATGCAAGTTTAGCATATTTATACATAAAAATAAGTGATCATTCTTAAGTTGACAATTTAATGCAAATAACGAATTGATATAAATTTAGTTGGTGGATAATTGCTAATTTCCATTTCATTTTATATCATTTTGTCTACTTTTCACATTTTACACAAAGAACATACATTTCAGTAACATCAGAAAAAAATAATAAGGATTATTTGTAGCTCCGCACACCTACTAATAATGAAAATGTTCCCTTCCTTTTGTTTTCAAATTCAAAAGGTAAAAATGGTAAGTTATATTTTGATTTTTAAAAAGATTATATAGTCATGACTGCATATGTAGCATTTAACATTTTTATCCTAAATATAATATCTCCATTTTCCTATTATTGATTAGAATTCCCTAATGAATGCTCATGTTTTAATACAATTGTGTTTTCAGCAAAAACTGAATGATGGAAGAAGTCCCAAAAGAAATTAACTCCATGGTCACTTAATTAATTTTAATCGATCAGAGATTTAGAACTAATTGCTAGAACTTTTAACCTTCCGAATTTTCATACTCCAGGGCTTTTCCTACCATTATATGGTAACTAACCCAGGTCTTTAAAATGTGGTTTCTTTACCTGAAATGTTTTCTTCTGCTTAACCTCTTTGCCTAGTTAACACCTAATCTTTCAGGACTCCTGTTAGACATCACAGTTCAGAAGATCTTGAACTGCTAGCTTAGCTCACATGCCCCTGATATATGTTGTCATTAAACTTTAGGATTTTTCTTCTACTGTGCATCACTGTAATTTTACATCTGCTAGAAATCAGTCTGCTTGAGGACAATGACTATATTGTTTCTTTCCTTTCACTGCTTTATAAACAGTGATAGATACATAGTAAATACTCAGTAAATATTTATTGAATTGATTCAATAAACTGATTTAATTATTCAATTATCATTTCTATCTATCAAGCTGTGAGTTCAATAAGGGCAGTGCAGGTTCCGTGTTGACACTGTCATATTCTCAGTTCCACACATAGTATCTGGCACAGAGCAAGCGTTTGATACACATTTACTTAATAAAGGGCGGAAAACATCAGCAAAAAGAATTCAGTTCTGAGGTGGTGCACTAGAGAAAGTTTCAGTAGCACACATCATGTGGATGGTGGATATGGAGCACAGCTACTTTGGGGCCTGTATTGGCG